CTTCCAGGCCGAGAGGAAGTTCAACGCGGCAGCCGCCCTGACGGAACCCTACTGCGCCATCTGCACGCTCTTCTACCCGTACAGCCAGGTGAGCCTGCGCCGTGGGACCCCAGGTCCACACCAAGCCGGGCTTGTCTGCCTGCTCCTGTGGGCGCCCCGCCAGAAGCCAGCCCTTGCCCCCTGAAGAGAGGGTGTCGGGGACCAAGAACCCATTGCTTTTGGGGCCACAATGGGCTCAGGGGGGAACCTGGCTGGCGGGGCATGAAGCTAAGGCCCCAGTGAGGGCTACGGGGAGAGAGCCTGGGGTCTGAATTTTCACTGGAAGGAAACTTACTCACAGGTATCAAAGAGGATACGAGTGCAGGGAGTGCTGTTCTCTGAGAGGCCCTCAGCCTGACTCGGGGGCCCATAAGTGGGGCCAGGGAAGGGCCTGCGTAGTGAGCAGGAGTCTGGAAGCCCGACCAGCATGGGGCTGGTGATGGTGGGCTGGGCCAGGCAAAGACTCCCCGTGTGGCCTGGCCCAGACACAGCCCCCACTCTGTCCTGAGTCCCCAAGCCGTGAACCTGGCTTCTCCCTGCATTCTGCCCTGAACTGTCCACTGCCAGGTTCCCTTCTTCACCTGTCTCCTGCCCTGGCTCCCTCCCTGGCCCTGACCGCTGCCTGCTTCCTGCCCTTCCTGTTAGCATCTCATCACAGCCACGCGTGGCCCAGATGGAAATGCCTGGTCCTCGGCCTCTCCACATGCCCACAGCCATCCTCTCCTGTGACATCTGCCCCCACCCCCACATAGCACGCCCTGTGCTGTTGCCCAGCATCTCCCACGTACCCACCCAGCCCCCTGCCTGGCCAGATGGATTTCTGTGCATTCTTTAGTTCCATCCCACTTGCCACCTCTTCCAGGAAGCCTTCCTGGATCTGCGTCCCTGGCTGACTCGGGCCCACCTCTGCTTTTGCTCCTGCCCTCTGTTTATCAGCCCTGGAGGACAGAATCAGATCTCATTTGCTTTGTGATCCCCAGCTCCTAACCTAGTGCCAGATGTTTTCCATGCATTAGCTGGGCTGACTGAGGTCTGTGCACCATGCTGGGGTGGCATGCCTGTCTCCAGGGCCCTGTTGCTCTGAACGGCTGGGACCTGCCATCACTAAGCGATTCAACACCTGGTGGTGGAAACAAGTAAGATGTACCATCCGGACATCTCCAGGCCTGACCTCCTCGGTGCTGCTGGCGTCAGCACTGGGAATGTCTTCTTAAGAGGTGCATCTCCTTAATTCTAGTGGCTAGGTGAAGCATCGTGACTGAACTTAATCATGCCCATGGCCGCAGCCCTCAGCATCAGGGCCAGGCTCTGCTCGTCCTGCGTCATAGGAAGAGCTATGGCTGGATGCTGTGCCTGTTTGGAAACTAGCCAGTCCCCTCATCCAAGGTGGACCCCCCCATACACGCACATACAGTTCGTCTGACCAGTGGTCCTGGTGACCGCTTTCCTTCTCCTCGAGCTGGGCAGAGTCCTCCCTTCACTCTGGGGGTGCTGGGGAGGCTCGTCTGGGAGCCCCGCCGTCCTGTGACAGGCCCAGTGTTGCTGGGTTTTTCATCACAGACTCTTCATCTGATTGGATCTGGGGGACTTGGGGGACTGGGGTACAGCTGTCATGGCGTGCAAGTCATAAGTGTAGATACACAGGTAACATGGCATCAGGTGATGGTCAGGACCACAAGGCCGATAGTGCTCAAAGGCTTGGGGGCTGCTGGTCACGTGAGTGAGAGATGAGCACCCCAGGCAGTGGGAACGGCACGTGCAAAGGCGCTTGGGCAGGACCCAGTGTGGCATTTGGGGTGTTGGGGGGGGGACAGCGAGGAGGCCCCTGTGGCTGGAGCAGAGCAAGCCCAGGGCAGTGGAGGCAAGCTGGTCAAGGACTGTGGGGTGGCGTCTGTGCTGGGTCTGGACGTAACTCTTAAGTGGGAGAGCTTGTGGGTGGGTGGGACACGATCTGACTGTCTAGAGGATCTCAGCACCAATGAGGCAGGGCCCGGGGGCATGGCCCTCCACCCCTCCTCCATCCCCCCTCCCCATCTGTGAACTCAGCCACATCCCACAGATGACTCCCTGGGTAACTCCAGAGTCTTACTGTGCTTTCAGAAGCTGTGGGTTCTAAACTGCGGATTCCTAAGGCCCACTTTGTATCTTATGCAAAGTCTTGGCCCCCTGCTGCACTCTCAGCTCCTCCTCCCAGACAGGGGTAGTGGGCAAGGGCCAGGCTGAACCTCCAGACCCGGAGGAGCTCTGGCAGCAGGGGCTGGTGGGGAGCCTGCTGTCCTTCCCCGTCCCTTTCCAGACTTTCTCAGGCTCTGTGTGCAGTGGTCCGGATTGAGGCCGAGCAGGTGGTGAGCGCAGTTACTGTATCCGGAACCCCCCCCCGCCCTCCCCCCACCGGGCTTTGACAGCCTGCCCACAGCCATGGTGACAGACGGGCTTGCCCTGTCTTCTAGGTTGCTACGGCATCCGCCCGGAGCTGGTCAACGAGGGCTGGACGTGTTCCCGGTGCACGGCCCACGCCTGGACTGCGGTAACTCGCCCCTGCAGCTGGGGTGGTGCTCTGAAAGCCGGCGCGGCCCGTGGGGGAGCCGGGCCTGGGCCCCGGGCTCGCCCGATCCCGCGGGGAGACCTTGGGCTGGCTGCCTCACCTCCTTGGGTCTCGGGTGGAGCCCATCGCTTCGGTGGCCGCTAGTGTGAAATGTAAGGACCGCTGGCGGGGGCCGGAGCAGATTCCGGAGCAGCAGGCGGGCGGTCCTGCCCTGCACACCCCTCAACGAGTTGTCTGGTCCCCGCAGGAGTGCTGCCTATGCAACCTCCGGGGAGGCGCCCTGCAGATGACGACCGACCGGAGGTGGGTGGAAGGGCCCCTTCTAGGGGAAGGGGGTACCTGAGGGGCAACTCGGGGGCAGGAGCAGGACCGGCAGGAGCAGATGAGGTCCTGTCGGCTTGGCAGGCCCGTGCCCACAGCTTTGAGATGACCCTAGAGGGGACAGGGTGCACCTGTGACCCCTGACCCCTTCGGCTCCTCCCCCAGGTGGGTCCACGTGATCTGCGCCATCGCCGTCCCGGAAGTGCGGTTCCTGAACGTGATGGAGCGCCACCCGGTGGACATCAGCGGCATTCCCGAGCAGCGGTGGAAGCTGGTAGGGGCCCTTAAGAGCTGCCCCGGTGGTGTGGGGTAGCTGCCGCGGAGCCAGGAGGTGGTTTCAGTGTGGCCAGCAAGTTACTCTTTGAGTAGGCAGGGGGTGCCTCTCCGTGGCTCCATTTCCTGCTTTTTACACAGAAAAAGCCTCCTGCGCTCTGCCCAGTTCTTTCTTGATTAACTTGCAATCAGCGGCCAAATAGAATTTTAAGAACATAATAGCCAAGAAGGTCTTCATCAGGCATAACTGAAAATTCACACACATTAAATAGCAGCTGCCAGTTTTCCTTCCCTCAGCCCCAGAAACCACCTCTCTTCTCTGCTTCTGTAAGTTTGTTTTTGCTTCCTCCTGGACATGGAGATACGCAGCAGGTGGCTAGCTTATTTCACTGAGCATAATGTCCTCAGTGTCCATCTGTGTGGCTGCAGATGGCATGATTTCCTTCTTTTTCATGGGTGAGTAACATTCCATTGTGTTTCTACTCTATGTCTTCATCCATTTTCTCTCCACGGATGCTTAGGTTGTTTCCAGGTTGTGTCTGTTGTAACCAGTGCTGCCCTGAACATGGGGGTGCAGATATCTTTTCAAGATAGTGATTTTGTTTCCTTCACCAAAAAACCCATGAGTGGAATTGCCAGATCATATGGTAGTTCTGTTTTTAACTTTTTGAGGAACCCCCGTACTGTGTTCCATAGCAGCTACACCAATGTGGGTTCTGACTAGCAGTGCGGGAGGGTTCCCTTTTCTCTCTGTCCTCGCCAATACTTGTTATCTCGTGTCTTCTTGATGGTGGCCATTCTAACAGGTGGTTTTGATTTGCACTTCCCAGATAATTACTGATGTTGACATCTGCTTACATGCCTGTGAGAGCTGCCCCGGTGGGTGTGGGGTAGCTGCCGCGGAGCCAGGAGGTGGTTTCAGTGTGGCCAGCAAGTTACTCTTTGAGTAGGCAGGGGGTGCCTCTCCGTGGCTCCATTTCCTGCTTTTTACACAGAAAAAGCCTCCTGCGCTCTGCCCAGTTCTTTCTTGATTAACTTGCAATCAGCGGCCAAATAGAATTTTAAGAACATAATAGCCAAGAAGGTCTTCATCAGGCATAACTGAAAATTCACACACATTAAATAGCAGCTGCCAGTTTTCCTTCCCTCAGCCCCAGAAACCACCTCTCTTCTCTGCTTCTGTAAGTTTGTTTTTGCTTCCTCCTGGACATGGAGATACGCAGCAGGTGGCTAGCTTATTTCACTGAGCATAATGTCCTCAGTGTCCATCTGTGTGGCTGCAGATGGCATGATTTCCTTCTTTTTCATGGGTGAGTAACATTCCATTGTGTTTCTACTCTATGTCTTCATCCATTTTCTCTCCACGGATGCTTAGGTTGTTTCCAGGTTGTGTCTGTTGTAACCAGTGCTGCCCTGAACATGGGGGTGCAGATATCTTTTCAAGATAGTGATTTTGTTTCCTTCACCAAAAAACCCATGAGTGGAATTGCCAGATCATATGGTAGTTCTGTTTTTAACTTTTTGAGGAACCCCCGTACTGTGTTCCATAGCAGCTACACCAATGTGGGTTCTGACTAGCAGTGCGGGAGGGTTCCCTTTTCTCTCTGTCCTCGCCAATACTTGTTATCTCGTGTCTTCTTGATGGTGGCCATTCTAACAGGTGGTTTTGATTTGCACTTCCCAGATAATTACTGATGTTGACATCTGCTTACATGCCTGCTGGCCATCTGTGTGTTTTCTTAGAGAAATACCTAGGCAAGTCCTTTGCCCATTTTTAAACTCGGCTGTTTTGCCTGTTTTGCTCCTCAGCTGTGGGAGCACTGTCTCTGGCTCCTCTGAGGATCACAGCTGTCCTTGGGTAGGAGTGGTCTTGCAAGTTTCACTCTTCCGGTTCTTGCTGATAATGTCTGCCCACCCTCCCCCAATCTGGGGGAGCCTTCGGGGCAGTGGGCGCAGTCAGTAAGCAGCGCTGACTTTCATTCTCAGCTCTGTTACCAGCCAGCTGTGTGATCCAGACAGATTTCTTGGCCTGTCTGTGCTCAGTCTTCTTCTCCATAAAATGGGGCTGCTGACAGTCCCCCGCATGGGGAGCATGAACTGGGCCACAGCAGAAAGTGCTGATGATGCCATCTGAGCACCAGCACCTGCTCTCAGGTCATCACCACCTATGAGTCTGCAGGGTGGCCTTGTGGGGGACATGTGGGGAGTGGGATGTGTCTTACGGCCCCCAGGAGATGGATCATTGGCCGGGGGTATGGAGAGCATCCTGGCTGTTCTTCTTGCCTGGTTTATTTCCCAGCTGCCTGGCACAGGGCCTGGGTACAGAGGCTCCTCCAGGCCTCCAGCGGGCAGGAGGCAGAGAAACAGGGCTGCAATTGGTGAGCCTGGTGAGGAGGCCCAAGTGAAGGCTCAGAGGCACCACCCTGGAGCCCCTTGGTGCGGGGCCTCCGGGCAGGGCAGAGTGGGTGGCTGGCGGGAGCCATGTGGGAGGGGAAGGGGCCTGGTCAGGAACCGTGGGCTCAGGCCAGTGCCAGCCCCACCGGGTCAGGATGGGTGTTAGGAAGAGGCTGCAGCAGCAGTGATTCCTGCAGGAACGCGGGCAGCAGAGGCCTCATTACTCAGGTGGAGTGATGGCACGGTGCGCGGCGCCGGATAGAGCCTCCCTCCCAGACGCTTTATGGATCATCTGACATTTCCAGCTTGCAGCCTCTTCATTACCGGCACTTGTAACGATGAATTAAAAATCCTTTTACACGAGGCTTGCTTGTACTGCCTAATGGAGCCTCACAAGGAAGCTGGCAGTTAACTCCTGCTTGCCCGGCCACCCGCCTGCCTTCCTGGGGGCCACATGCCAGCCGCAGGCTTGGGGACGGTCATGCCTGGTCATCCGCCCATCCTTCTGTCCTCAGGATTCTCTGGCCTCTGGTCCTGGTGAGTGGTGGCTGCTCCAGCCGGCTGGTAGCCTGAGCCTGGTGTTCACCCCCTCACCAGCCCGGGTCAGCTTAGGGGGCAGTAGAAGTGAGGCTGTCAGGGCAGGTGCTTAGACCAGCTCTGCCCTTCTCCTCAGCTCTGCCTTGAAGTGTCACATCTTGATGGGAGGGAAGGTGGGTGTCTGCCAAAATTGGCAGGAAGGCAAGAGGTGGCAGGAAATGACTTGAGAGGGGAAAGGCCTGAGACATGACTGTGCCTTGCGGCCTCCATGGCTGATGGCACACCAGCTGTGGCCCTCAGCCTTCTCCCACGGTCCATCCTGTATCATCCCCCCACCCCCATCTCCTGCCCCCACCTCACAGCCTCCAGTGAGGGAGATGCAGACCCAGGACTCACGCTTAAGGCAGCCCTGAGTTCATCGCCTGGCATACGGCCCCTTGGGGGCCTAGCGCACTTTCCTTAGGATATGGAAACTCAGTGACGAGATGCCACTACCGGCCAAACTGTCAGGCTCCTCCTGGGCCTTGCTGTGGGGTTTCTGCCTTCTGGTGCAGCGCCCCGTTCTCAAGGGCCATGTCACATGTCTCCCTCCCCGCCACAGGCCAGCTGGAGAATCGGGGATCGACAGTTTAATAATGAGATCTCATTGCCATCGATCGGCACGGGGCTGCACTCCCACAGCGCCCTTGCTGTGGGGCTTCTCTGGCTTTTGAACGTGGTTTACAGAGCGATAAAGGCCGGCTTATTAAAGGCCCAGAGTCATCGACAGGTGGCTGCTGAGTGGCGGCAGGGTGTGGGCATGGATGCAGTGTTGATGGCTTGGGAGCTGACGCCCAGCAGAGCAGGCCACCCAGGCAGGTGTTCCCACAGTGTGGGCCCCCTACCCCTCCTTATGAAGGGCTGCACTGCAGCATCTTTCATTCAAAATTAAGATAAAATCTCCCATTATGTTTTTTTTTTTTTTTCAGGGTCCCTCTGCGTGGTAGCAAGGTGCCTCTTCAGCCAGCTATGTGGAGGGGCTGGTGGAAAAGAGGTCTAGAGATGCTCCTGGGGGCCAGCTGCAGGCTGGATTGGTGGGCCTGGGGTAGTCAAGACTCTCCCAGGATGACCCCTCCATGGGGCTAGGCCCCTGCACTCCAGCTTCAGATTTCAGAGTCATTCCCAGGAGACAGACCTAGGGGCCCAGTAGGGCAGGGGCTCGCAGCCCCAGGGGGCAGAGGTACCAGCCGGAGCCCCATTCCCTCTGCCGTGTCCCCACAGAAATGTGTGTACTGCCGGAAACGGATGAAGAAGGTGTCAGGCGCCTGCATCCAGTGCTCCTGCGAGCACTGCTCCACCTCCTTCCACGTGACCTGCGCCCACGCCGCTGGTGTCCTCATGGAGCCGGACGACTGGCCCTACGTCGTCTCCATCACCTGCTTCAAGCACAAGTCGGGGGGCCACCGTGTGAGTGCCCGCCTGCCCCCTAGTCCGTTCCCCTGCCCCTCTGTCCCGCTGTGTTCTGACAGCCCCTCCACCCTCAGGTCCAGGTCATGAGGGCCGTGTCCTTAGGCCAGGTGGTCATCACCAAGAACCGCAACGGGCTTTACTACCGGTGCCGCGTCATCGGCACCACCACGCAGACCTTCTACGAAGTGAACTTTGATGACGGGTCCTACAGCGACAACCTGTATCCGGAGAGCATCACTGTGAGCGGCGAGGGGCGCGGCAGGGGGCGGCGCAGGCGCAGGGCAGGCACTGCTGGGAGGGGGCCCGATTCCTCACGGGAGTCTCCTGCTGGAAGGCTCTGCCTGCACGAGGGTGGGCCCCAGGGCAGGGGTGGCAGCAGACCCCTGGGCACCCACCCACAGTGCGCCCTGACAATTGAAGCTGAGACCACCGCCTTCTTCTGGCTGGGACCTTTCTTAGCCCAGGCCAGCGTGGTGACCAAGGCCAAGGGCGCCCCTCACCCCGTCCCATCCTTCCCTCCACAGAGTAGAGACTGTGCCCGCTTGGGCCCGCCACCCGAGGGCGAGTTTGTGGAGCTCCGGTGGACTGACGGCAACCTCTACAGGGCCAAATTCATTTCCTCTGTGACCAGCCACATCTATCAGGTGAGGGGGTGCTGTCTGCCGGGTATGGGCTGGGGTGGGGCCCTCAGCAGGGTCCTTTGGGGACTGTGGAGCTAGCCTCTGAGGTCAGTGCAGGCATGAAGGCCTTCTAACTGTCCCAGATGTCTTCTCGATTTTGTGTGTGTGTGGTAGAACATACTTAACGAAATTTACTGCTTTCACCATTTTTTTAAATGTACAATTCAGTGTTCCTGATTTAAAAAAAAATAAAGTTGGTTGCTAGTTTTTTCTCATGATTGTGGAAGAAAAGTTATTGACGTGTGAAATCTTAGAAGAAAAATCACCCCCTATCCCAGCGACAAAGACAGTGGCGGGTGACCCTGCGCTGTTTTCCCAGCGGTTGCCCTGCAGGCCGACCTTGAGTGGCCTGGGGCTCGGGGCTGGGCCGGGTGGGCCACGAGCTGAACTGCATCCCCTTGGCAGGTGGAGTTCGAGGATGGGTCCCAGCTGACGGTGAAGCGTGGTGACATCTTCACCCTGGACGAGGAGCTCCCCAAGAGGGTCCGGTCCCGGCTGGTAAGTGGCCAGGAGTCGGGGTGGGAGTGGGTGCACAGCTGCCTTGGGGAGCGACCCATCCAAGGGGCCTTGACGTCCCGCCTTGGCCTTTGCTGGCTTTGAGGCAGGAAGGGCAGTGGGAGGGTCAGCCGGCCTGCGAGGAGGAGGCAGGAGCTCCTGAGTGTGGACCGCAGCTGCACGTTGGCGATGCTGAGGGAACCAGAGAAGCTGGCCTCTTCTCAGGACTTTTCGCCATCTTCTTTCTTTCGGGTTTAACCCAGAGGCAAACTTTTGAGGATCAGGGGCTGTGGCTGTGGGTGGAAGAGCTGAGTCAGAGCTGGTGGGGGTCCCAGATGCGAGGTTCCCTGGGGGACGGACAGGAGCTGCCAGGCAGACCAATGGCCTGTGTGCAGCTCAGCCTTGCCTCCCACATACTGTGGACGGCAGGGCTCCCACCCTGCTAGGGGGCCAGTGGGAGGCTAGACCCCTCCTCTGCCTGCCTGGGGGGTCACTCGCTGGGTGGGGGTTCAGGCAGAGGCAGGAGGGGCCGTCCCCAGCAGCCAAGGGCCTTTGACCTCCAGCATGGCAGGCATTTGTTCCAGCCAGACCCCCAAACACAGCCTGTATTTCAGTCCATTCTCTCTGCTATACCACACTGGACAACTTAAACAATCTCACAGGAAGCTGGAAGTCCAAGATCAAGGCACCGACAGGTTCAGGGTCTGGTGAGGGCAGACCCTGGTTTACAGACACCTGCCTTCTTTGTCCTCACGTGGTGGAGAGGGAGGGCGCTCTCAGGGGTCGCTTATAAGGGCACTCATCCTGTTCTTGAGGGCCACTCTCTCATGACCTCATCACCCCTGACCCCATTGTGCCATGCGGGGCGGGGCTTCAACATAGGACTGGACCTTGGGGGACACAGATCTCCGCCCACAGTACCCTTTCTGCACTAACCCCCACGCCATCTGCTCCCCTATAGTCGGTCAGCACAGGGGCCCCGCAGGAGAGCGTCTTCTCCGGAGAGGAGGTGAAGGCCGCCAAGCGCCCTCGGGTGGGCACCCCTCGCGCCGCAGAGGACTCAGGGCGGAACCCGGACTACCCGGTCTTCATGGAGAGCCTGCTGCAGGCGCAGTGCTGGCCCGGAGCGCCCTACTAGGACCGCCGGCCGCCCGTGAGCCCTTGGCCCAGCAAGGCAGGCGCGGCGGGCCCTGGCGTTTGCTTGCTGTGAATCCCTGTCCTCGCCTCCCAGCCCGAGAGGCTACCTCGGTGACAGGAGCGAGCAGGACGCCGCACGCGCCCCCGGACTCAGGGAGCAGGGCCACGCGGGCTCTGGGGGCCGGCGGGGGTGCGCGCGCCACCCCCTTGACCCAGATTCGTAAACCACGTGAGCTCTTCTTCTCGTAAAAGGTGCTACTGCATTGCCTGCCTCCTGAGCAGCCGTGGAGATTGTGACTTCTGTACATACATCACCTTTGTGAGGTTCTTTCTATAAATACCTATTGTTTAAAAAAAAATGCAAGAAAAAAAAAGGAAAAGGAAAAAATCATACCCCAAAGTTGTTTTCTAGATTTGTGGCTTTAAAAACAAAACGAAATGAAACAAAATGTCCTTTTTTCTCAGAACCCGGTGAGCTGCCCAAGATAAAAGCAGCTCAGCTTTTTGTTTGTCGTGTTTTCTGGTCCCGAGCGAGCGGTGGGGATGCGCTGTAGCAGCGGTGAGGCCGGGGGGTACGGGGAGGCGCGAGCAGGACGCCTGGGCACGCTTGACGGCGGCGCCAGGTCACTCACTGTCTCCCAGCCGTGAGATCGAGCAGGTCTGGGCCACTGGCACTGCGCGGCCAGCACGCAGCGGGACGAGGCTGGCAGCTCCTCTGGTGGCCTCCCCTCGCCCCCTGCGTGGCCTTTTGCAAAATAAATCCGCTCTCTTCTGGTGGCTCCATCTTTTGCTTCTTCCCCCGGGAAGAACCATCTCCCAGCTGAGGCCGCAGATGGGCGGCCCTCAGGGGTCTGGCTGCGGCTCACACATGTGCAGGGGGTTCAGTGCTGGCCCGGAGCGCCCTACTAGGACCGCCGGCCGCCCGTGAGCCCTTGGCCCAGCAAGGCAGGCGCGGCGGGCCCTGGCGTTTGCTTGCTGTGAATCCCTGTCCTCGCCTCCCAGCCCGAGAGGCTACCTCGGTGACAGGAGCGAGCAGGACGCCGCACGCGCCCCCGGACTCAGGGAGCAGGGCCACGCGGGCTCTGGGGGCCGGCGGGGGTGCGCGCGCCACCCCCTTGACCCAGATTCGTAAACCACGTGAGCTCTTCTTCTCGTAAAAGGTGCTACTGCATTGCCTGCCTCCTGAGCAGCCGTGGAGATTGTGACTTCTGTACATACATCACCTTTGTGAGGTTCTTTCTATAAATACCTATTGTTTAAAAAAAAATGCAAGAAAAAAAAAGGAAAAGGAAAAAATCATACCCCAAAGTTGTTTTCTAGATTTGTGGCTTTAAAAACAAAACGAAATGAAACAAAATGTCCTTTTTTCTCAGAACCCGGTGAGCTGCCCAAGATAAAAGCAGCTCAGCTTTTTGTTTGTCGTGTTTTCTGGTCCCGAGCGAGCGGTGGGGATGCGCTGTAGCAGCGGTGAGGCCGGGGGGTACGGGGAGGCGCGAGCAGGACTCCTGGGCACGCATGACGGCGGCGCCAGGTCACTCTCTGTCTCCCAGCCGTGAGATCGAGCAGGTCTGGGCCACTGGCACTGCACGGCCAGCACGCAGCGGGACGAGGCTGGCAGCTCCTCTGGTGGCCTCCCCTCGCCCCCTGCGTGGCCTTTTGCAAAATAAATCCGCTCTCTTCTGGTGGCTCCATCTTTTGCTTCTTCCCCCGGGAAGAACCATCTCCCAGCTGAGGCCGCAGATGGGCGGCCCTCAGGGGTCTGGCTGCGGCTCACACATGTGCAGGGGGTCTTCCCCAACCCGAGGGGCTGGTACATCCTGTATGATCTCTGTGACGCGTGGATTTGTGTGTCTGGGGGACAGAGCACTCTAGAGGGAATCACGGCTTTCAGCTCGGAGGAAATCTGCCCCGGAAGGCTTGTGGGCTGAATTTCCAGGCAGAAAAACATGTTCCTCATTCGGGGCTAGGAGAGGAACAGTGCCCCCCACCACATCTCAGCCACGCCGTGGTCCCCTACAGAGGAGTTGAAAGCATCATTTGCTTGTATAAAGATTTTTTAAGTTTAAAAAAGAGGCTCTAACAGTTGCCAGGCCAGAGAGAACCAAGTAAAGTGGAGAGAAACTTTCTTGGTGGGGGGAAGGGCAGGTGCTCTAGAGGGGCGGGCGGGGCGGCGGGAGGTGCCGGGGAGTCAGCGGAATGTGGGGGTTCCCTCTGCATGCAGCAGGCCCCTGCCCCGGGGCGCTGTCCCTGTGTTCATATGTAGTTTGAAAATGCTATTTATATTGTAAAGAGAATAAAAAGAAGCAGGCAGACGCCCCTGTGGCTCCGGGTCGGGCAGGTGGGCCACCCCCGTGGCCAGTCCCTCAGGGTTCCACCCCATCCGTGGCGGGTTCCTGGACCACTTGTGCAGACAGGCAGTGGGGCAGCAAAGGGGGAGCGCGCTTTCCCCATGAAGGTATATCTGTGTCTATGTGTGAAAGCAAGAAACACGAACTCCCACCCACCCTGATTTTTTTCCACCTGAGATGAAGGATGCGCTGTATTTTTGCCTAATTCCCCTGCCTCTAGGTTCATAATGAATTAAAGGCTCGTGAGCACTGCGATTACAGCTCCAGGTGGTTGCAGCGTCTTCTTTTGTCTTCTTTTCTGAGCGGGTGCCAGGGAGGCGGGCAGCGGTCTCTAGGCTGGGGTGGGCTCTGGGTGCCCCCTCCAGGAGGGAACAGGCGTGGTTCCTCCCCAAAGGGTGGCACATGGCCTGGCCCCATGACCCCTGCTTTCTGCCTCCAGGATGGAGGAAGTTTCCTTACAGAGCTGGACATCTGAAGCTTGTGTCCACACAGACGTCTGGCCCCCAAGGCTTTCGGGTCTCCCTGGGGCAAGGCCCTCTCCCCCTGCCCTCCCAGCCTCTGCCCAGTTCTTGTGACACCTGAGCCAGGGATGGTGGGCAGCCATCGGACACATGTGAGACAGCAGGGTCCACGTGGTGTGAGGCTGGCCCCCCCAATATTCATGAATGTGTCATTCATTCAGCCAGTACCCAGGATACAGCAGTAGGTGTGACAGCAGTGGGAGAGGTAGACGGTATATGAAATGGGATGTCAGTTGTAATGTAAAGAACAGGAGGTCCTGAGGGAGATGAGAGGTGAGGCATGGGGACATCTTGGGGCACAGTCAGTGCAAAGGCCCTGGGGCAGCACCATGCCTGGCTTTCGTCCCCTGCACAGCTTGTGGGATCTTAGTTCCCCATCCAGGGATCAAACCTGTGACCCCTGGCAGTGGAAGCACCAAGTCCTAACCACTGGACCACCAGGGAAGTACCCATGCCTGGTATTTTGGAGGAACAGTTGAGTGGGCCCATGTGACTACAGCAGAGCAAGGGGGAGGGAGGGAGGGGAGAGAGGAGACGACAGCAGGGAGGGGGTGCGACAGGTCATGCAGGGCCTTTGGGCTGCAGGAAGACTTGGGCCTTTGCCCCAGGGCAGTGGGCAGAGGAGAGGTGGGGCCTGACTCCGCCTCTGCTCACTGGTGCCATGGGGTGAGGTGGGAGCCTGGGGACCAGAGCAGAATGGAAACACTGAGCATCTTGAAAGATGGCTTTTGAGGTGAGCTGGGCTATCACGGCTGGACATGGGGCTGAGGGCTGAGAGAAGGCATTTAGGAGACATCAGCAGATAAGCCTGGGGGCTGTGGACAGGGTGCCCCTCTGGGCCTCAGTTTTTCCTCTGCAGAACGGGCGCTGTGTCATGAGCAAATTTCCTCCAAGGAAGTATCCACCCAGCCACTGCCACCCTCAGTCTGCTTCTCTGACCCCTTTGCAGAGATGCTGCCCAGCACCCTCAACAAAACCCCAGGACTCAGTTTCCCCATCTGCTACAGGGGACTCCCTGCAACAGTGACCAGGTAAGTCAGCATCCTCTGACCCTGCCCGGGGCCTGGCAGATGTGGTCGGTCCTCAGTGGTGAGGAGGGGGCCACAAACAGCAGCAGCGAGAATGGCTGACCAAGGTGGTCTCAGCACGGTTGCAGATGGCTCTCTGTTCTCAGTGCTCTCTGAAACATCATAAAATGGGGAGGTAATTTGGCTCAGGCCATCGTGGACTGAGGTCAGGGCCAAGATACCAGGCTGACTCCATGACTCTGCAGCTGCGTGGAACCTACGGGATCTGTGGCATCCAGGCACTGGGCCCAACGCTAGAGTCTTGATAAATTTATCAGGTGGCAAATGTCAACTGCCCTGTGCTAGGACCTGGGAGGTGGCTGAGAAAGAGGGGGGCAAGGTCACTGCTTCGGAGTTTATATAGAGTTCAGGAAAGCAGGCAAGTAATAAAAACATAAAGCACCATAAACACAGCTTTGACATGTTCCCTGAAGGACAAGAGAGGGAGCAGAAATGGAGGGGAAGGTGTGGTCACAGAGACCAGTTAGGATCCTAAAGAGGTGATATTTAGCTCTGACCCCTCAAGGGAGGTCAGTCAGATTCAGGCGGGGGATGTGGTACATGGTACTGAATACCCCAGCCTTTTAGGTTGAGGTCCCTGCAACCTAAAGCCCTCAAGTCAAATCCGGCTCTCCTATAAATAAAGTTCTGTTGGCACATAGGCACACCCATTCATTGAGTACCATCTATGGCGGCCTTTGCTCTACAAGGGAGGGCTGAGCGGTAGCAGCAGAGACCGCCTGGTGTCCCAAGAGCTAGACATACACTATCTGGCCCTTTTCAGAAAAAGTTGTGCTCATTTTAGACCTAGAGCGAGTGAGAAAGGGCAGCCTCTGTACACTTGATGGAGAAGGCAATGGCACCCCACTCTAGTACTCTTGCCTGGAAAATCCCATGCATGGAGGAGCCTGGTAGGCTGCAGTCCATGAGGTCGCTAAGAGTCAGACACGACTGAGTAACTTCACTTTCACTTTTCACTTTCATGCACTGGAGAAGGAAATGGCAGCCCACTCACTCCAGTGTTCTTGCCTGGAGAATCTCAGGGACGGGGGAGCCTGGTGGGCTGCCGTCTATGGGGTCGCACAGAGTCAGACACGACTGAAGTGACTTAGCAGCAGCAGCAGCATACGCTTGATCTGTGCCTGTGACAGAATCGTTTTCCCGTGGGGATCCCGCAATGCCCAGACCCGCCTTGCCTCCTAGAGGCCCCTGATTAGGCTCACTGTCCATAGCATCCACCCCAGACCACCCTTGCAAAGAGCTTGGTGGAAAGAGAAGGACTTTGGCTGGGGCCCCTCTATCCATTTGTCATTGATCCACCGAGGGCTCCGCCCTCCACATCCTGGAGCATCCCTGCTCATCCTGCTGATTGCTGAAGGGAAGCCCAAACACGCCCCATGTCCAACCCATTGGGCTGCCCCCACCTCCCCAAGTTGCCCCCTTTGGCCAGTGCAGAGAGGGACGGTGGGTCCGGGCCTCTGATGGCCTCTGTGGTCCAAAAGTCCTGGCTCTAAGCCCCACTGTCATGATTCACAGCTTTTATGAAAGTGAAAGTCGTGTCCGACTCTGCAACCCCATGGACTGTGCAGTCCATGGAATTCTCCAGGCCAGAATACTGGAGTGGGTAGCCATTCCTTTCACCAGGGGATCTTGCCGACCCAGGGATTGAACCCACCAGGTCTCCTGCATTGCAGGCAGTTTCTTTCTTTCTTTCTTTCTTTTTTTTTTCAGGCAGTTTCTTTACCAGCTGAGCTACCAGGGAAGCCCGAGAATACTGGAGTGGGTAGCCTATCCCTTCTCCAGCAGATCTTCCTGACCCAAGAATCGAACCAGAGTCTACTGCTTTG